GGCATTGAAAGAACGCACCCTGGGACCGTTCACAGGTTTCACATTGTCAACAATGATAAAAAAAAACAAACCCTTGCATACATCATTGAATAACATTTACTGTTCGTCTCAGATGACAATCGCTGAAATACATATAACGTAGTTTACGTTAGTCGAAATCCTAAAGGTCTTCAACTGAGTGTATTGTCTTGGCATTAAATCCACTTTTATTTCAATATGCACTATATATGCTTATAGAGCAGATATAAAAGTACCACCACCATAAAAGTGTCGGTCGGGGCTGACCGTGCACCTTGACCACCCCACCTGCTATGCAGCAGCAATCTCTTTCTTATTCAGTCATATTGCCATTTCAGTCATACTTCCAATTTTCTTAAGAAAATAATTACACGGAAACAGGTGGAATTATTATTATGAAAAGAGAAAGAAACAAAGTCTCATATAATTTATAGGTTTATTCCATCTTGTCCTATCTATCTATCTATCTATCTATCTATCTATCTATCTATCTATCTATCTATGTCCATACATGATCTATCTATCTATCTATCTATCTATCTATCTATCTATCTATCTATCTATCTATCTATCTATGTCCATACATCTATCTATCTATCTATCTATCTATCTATCTATCTATCTATCTATCTATCTATTTCCATACATGATCTATCTATCTGCATGTCTGCCTATCTGTGTGTATGTATGCACGTGTGTGTGTGTATGTGGGTGTGTGTGAATATGTGTAACAAAATATGTATTCAGCTAAAATATGTATCTGTTGAGATTCATTGTAAATACAATTATGGCACAAGGCGAAATATGTATCTGTTTGTCTATCTCAATCTGTTCGTATCTTTCTCTCAATAAACTTTGTTACTTTCCATATCTATTTGTATGTATCTACAACTGTTTGTTTTTCTGTATCATTCTTCCAATCTATCTATCTATCTATCTATCTATCTATCTATCTATCTATCTATCTATCTCAACCTGTTCCTATTTTCTCCCAATAGACTTTGATACCTTCCATATGTATAAATCTAAAACTGTTCGTTTTTGTGCATTTTTCCATGTCTCTGAGAATAATATGATCTATCTATCTATCTATCTATCTATCTATCTATCTATCTATCTATCTATCTATCTATGTCCATGCACGATCTATCTGTCTATTTATCTATCTATCTATAGCGAAGTTAAAAGTATAGTGTAAAGTAAAAAATGCTGACAGTCAATGGGGTATTTAGAGAAAAGACATTTAACTGAAGCAGTTTTTTGCAAGAAAATGCTCGATATCAAAGATAGAGCCTTATCTTTTTATATATTCAGTTATTTTTGGCCCTGTTGTTCCTCTCTGACGATTTGTAGTTATCTAAATCGTTTTGTGGGTTTATTTACTTATTGTTAATATCTCTCATAATTTCCTGTCCTTGGTGGCTCTTAATAAATTTGTCTTCTTTTTATCTCGCCTAAAACATCTTCTGGTATATTACTACTGTTGTGTATTCCATGTATGTAAACTTGTCAAAGCCGAAATCATCTAAGGCTGCCAGCGTCTCTATTACAATTCTGTTTGGTTCTGCTAGTTTGGTTCTGCTCAATTTGGCCAGTTCTCATTCCCCTTAAGATTTTGATATTTCTGCTCTTTCGATATTCTGTGTATCGCTTGTAGATCTCTTTCGTTGTGGATCAGTTCTCCGATCTCTTTCGTTGTGGATCAGTTCTCCGATCTCTTTCGTTGTGGATCAGTTCTCCGATCTCTTTCGTTGTGGATCAGTTCTCCGATCTCTTTCGTTGTGGATCAGTTCTCCGATCTCTTTCGTTGTGGATCAGTTCTCCGATGTATTCATTCCATCTCTGAAGTATGTTTATTTCTCTGTTATCAGTGTCCCGTCATTGAACTTTAGGCATCCTATTGATAAGCATATTTTTTTTATCCTGTTTGTCCTCTTATTTTTAGGCATATCTGCTTTATCTGTGATACTCATTCTTTCTATTACAGTGCTTTTTTTTCGTTAAGTCATTCCTCTTTAGCCTGCGTGGATTTGTTTCTACTTTCCTTTTGAAGAGTCTTATATTCCGTTTTATATCTTAGCATTGTTTTTTTATCTCCTTTTCATCATCTTGAGAATTTCATCTGTCATCCATTCTTTTTTCTGTATTTTTTTTAGGATGATAACGATTGCTGATGTTATTAAAGCTTCTATTAATGTGTCCCACATCGAGTTTTTATTTTCATTTTGTCCATTGTATATGCTTGTAACACTGTCTATATATTTCTCCTTCACACTCGGGTCATTCAGGGGTCTGTCTTGTTGGGTGCTGCCTTGGCCCTCTTCTGTTTCCGTAGTTTCAATCTAAGTTTACATATCACTGGAAGGTGGTCGCCCCCGCAATCGGCACTTGGGAATGTTTTGCAGTGTAAAACTACATCCTTAAATCTCTTATTGTAATTTATATAGTCAATTTGTTCTTTCTTTTCACCTCCTGAGCTTGTCCATTTTCATATACGTCTTCGGTGTTCTTGAAACTAGGTGTTGGCTACTAATCGATCATTTGTCGTGTACCATTGGACAAATTTTCTCCACGTTCATTAAGACTTCCCTGTTAACATACGATTGTTTATTTATCTGTGCATAGATAGCTAAGACATTATATTCCCTTAATAAATGAAATTACAGAATAAAAAAAAACAACACATCAGACCACACGTTTTAGGCCTCTTGTTCTGACACATGGTAGAAAGGACTTCCTGTGTTATTAGTTTCTTTTTTTGTCAATCGAGTTCGCACCAATCAAGAGAATAAAGCCACTAAGACTCAAGGGGTTACTGGGTGTGAAAGAATTAGAAAACAGAAACATTATCAACGCACGAAAACAATAGACGAGTAACCAATAATACGGTAGATAGCAGTTGACATTGCATTTAAATTTTTGAAGATTAAAGTTGACTGGAAATCATTGAACTAGAAGAGAGATCCACACGTGAGAAGTGCGAGAAATTAAACTTTTAGTGAAGAACTTACGGTTACATTTAACTTGAATGTTAACTACATTCTTAAATCTCTTATTGTAATTTATATAGTCGATTTGTTTTTTGTTTTCACCTCCCGAGCTTCTCCATTTTCATATACGTCTTCGGTGTTCTTGAAACCAGGTGTTGGCTACTAATCGATCATTCGTCGTGTACCATTGGACAAATTTTCATCACGTTCATTAAGTAAATTGACGAGCCCTCGATGCCAGTCTAGTACTATGCTTAAATTCATGAAATCTAGGTAACATAATGAAGCGCTCATCCGAACAATTACCATGAAAGTATTGACAGAAAAATCACAGGGAGGTAACTTTACGGCACTGGGAAAGTGACAGAAGCCCAGTCAGGGCCAATAATATTGCTGATTCTTCTTTGGATTTTATCAAAGATCGCTAAATATATAGCAGGAGACCCGAAACATAAATGGCAGGAATATTCTCAATATGGATGAATGGTAGACTGATAGATATGTAAGATAGATTCTGGAGAAAAAAAATATCCGGCACAAAACAATGAACCAATTTGCTTAGTAAGCTGACCTAACAATAGATTCAATATAGTCTTACCACTTCATGCCAACCGAGAATGATAACTCGAGAAGGTGCAACGAGGCACTCTCCTAGAGGTTATCATCAAAGTTGTTTGCAAAGCATGGAGCCGAAAAAGAGTTCCACAAGCGAGAAGTGCGAGAAAAAAAGCTGTTTGCATAGAACTTATGGTTACATCAATCAATTCAACTGTAAATTGACGAGATCTTGTTACCAATCTAGAACTGCGGTTAAATTCATAAAGTATAACGAAGTGCTCATCCGAACAATTACCATGGTGGAAAAGTGCCTAAAGCGGAGATGCCATGTCAGGACTAATGATATTGCTGATTCTTCTTTGGATTTTATCAAGAATCACTAAATACATAGCAGGAGTAATATTCTAAGAATGGACCAATGGTAGACCTATAGATATATAAGATAGATTCTAGAGGGATAAATTTTGTTTCTCGACAGAGTGAGCCAACTTGCTTAGCAGCTGGCCTAGAAATAGATTCAATATAGTCTTACCACTTCATGTCAACACAGAATGTTAACCCAAGAAAGTCCAACGAGTCACCCCGCCCCTGGTGGTTAGCATTCGCCATGCTGATGGAAGGCAGAAATGGGTCTTTCAGATGATAGAGAGCAGTTTTGTTTTATATGCCAACAAGTCATTCTTTGCCCCAGTTAACAACAGACTGCAGGTCGTTTTTGACACCATTCGCCAATTTGAGCATATCGGACATATCACGCTTAGTATCGTTACTGGAGTAAATGACTGCGTCATCAGAATAGCTAGCAAGTTGAGAGTTGATGTCGCCATGATGCTGCTAATTCTTTGAATTTTATCAAAATCACTAAATATATAGCAGGAGCAATATTCTAAGCATGGGCGAATGGTAGACATATAGATATGCAAGATAGATTCTGGTGCGACAAGTTTTGTTTTTCGACATATTGTACCAACTTGCTTAGTAGCTGACCTAGCAATAGATTCAATATAATCTTACCACTTCATGTCAACCGAGAATGTAAATCCCGCGAAGACACAACGAGTCACTCACATGGAGGTTAGCATCAGCCATACTGAAATTTAAATATAACGTTGCACTAAATGCATTACCATTTTTTGTTTTGTTTTGCATTACGACTTACGCACCCTTGAGGCTGATTCAGGAGAGTCAAAATCTTAGACACAGCCATTATAAAATTTTTGGAAATTCCGTACATCAACAATTGGATGAAGGACATACCCAATAGACACAAAATATCTATACTTCTTAATAAGACATATTTTACTATAAATAAAGACCTATTTGGTATATGTAGTGGAAAAAGGGCTAAGCAAAATAAAAGTTCCTCAAATTCTATGAAAACGCATATGTCCCCCGGGACCAGCAGGTATTTTTCAAACTTTTAGGCAGATTTAACATGTGGCAGAAGCATTTCGCTCGAGTGGTTGAAGGACCATTTTCGCATGTTTCCGTAAGGCTTAATTTACTGCGCACGACAAATCCACTATGGCAGGTAAGGCTACCATTCAGAGGAGAAGCATATTGTCAACTTGCTTTATTATTTGCAAAGCAGATGATCCCGATGTTAAAGCCGCCAGTTCCTTCGTTCTGATGCTTTGTTTTCCCATGAAGAAAAGGTGGGGATGCTGCATCGCTTCAGATTGTCTGAGTTTGCCTTTGTAACGCAAGTGTGGCTTTCCAATTGACCTGCTTGTTAAGAGCTGGCCAATTGCTGGCTATTGCTCATATGAGAAAATACTCCTGCTCACCTGAGTCTGATTTTTATGAGGACGGCTTCAACACGATGTTACATATAGTCAGAATTTCACTGTTTCTAATGCGATCACTCAGTTTTATATCACAGATAGTAGGCGACGCCTTGAAAGACATCAAGTCGATTGATGTCGGTACAGTTTAAAATTCTGCACCATCAGAACTACTACTGACTTGTACAAATGAGTTTCCCCTCATAACGAAACATCACCAGTATTCTAAAGCCCGTGGTAAAGATTACGGTAGGCAGAACTAGCCTTGCCAATCCTGTATTCAATTTTATTTGCCCATCTTAGCATCGTTGGATACAATGGAGCAAAGAGAGATGAAAGAGGAAACGGTTTTTAAGATTTTTTCCATCAAAACATTGGGATCAACAGCTGGGACGAGGATGGTGTTTACAGATAGGTTGATGGACAGGCCGAAAGCTTTTGATGCCCGAGAGAATTTATTAATGTTCTATTTCATATCCTCATAGGTGTAGAATGCAATCGTCTGTAAAGAGTAGACCACAAAAAGTTTGTATAATTCTCTTTCTTCTTAATCTGAAGCGTTGTTGGTCGAATAACCCCACCCCCAATTGTCCTAAACTTCAATCGCACACCTTCCTTAACGTTCTCAAATGCTGTTTCCAGAAAAAAGACAAAGCGAATAAAAGAGGTGCAAGAACATAACCTTGCTTTGTTCCATTAGAGACAATGAATGGTTTAGACACAACTCCACTGGTTCTGACTGAGGCCTTTAGACACTGATGGAAAGACCTGATGACACTAAGCATCCTTTCAGGAAAGTTTAGCTTCCTAAGGACGAGTCAAAGAGCACCCCTTGAAACGGTGACAAAGTATTTAGTTAAACCAAT